AACATCCTTGCCAGGGAAGGATACGAGTCATACAAAGCCAGTAAACATCCGAACCGGCACATGCAGCAGAATTCCGTGGCCAAAAAGCATGCAAGGCTCTTCTACGACCGTGTTTTGACGAAACACAAGGGCTGCACTTTGATCGATGACGATGGTGTGTTTGCCGACAACTTCGCCGCGAAGAGGGCCATTATTTGGCAAGCGATTTGCAGTTGTGGCCTGAAAACGGAACCATTCGTCACATCCTCGACGATGACATACCAAGTTTACATCGAAGAATGCCTGAAAAAGCGTGTATTGCCGTTCATCCACAAGCATAGACTCAAAGTCATATTTTGTCAGTCGATTTGGTCAGCTGCCACTACTCCAAGGTGGCATGCTGCCAACAAGATCGATTTTGTCCCAAACGAATGAATCCTCCGAATTGCCCGGAATTTCGACCAATCGGAAAATACTGGGTAATTTCAAAGCAGCGACTTCGACGAAGTGATGGAGCAGTCAAGGACATCCAGCAAATGCGCTGATTACATGTCCGTTTCCACTGTGCGGTTGCTGATGGGCTCCATCAAGAAGAAGGTTTGAGATTTTAGGAAGTTATAGTAAAAGTTCTGTAAAGCAACTATTAATGGACTTTTTAAACTTATTGAATCACGAATAAGAGGTCTTTTTTACGCACAATTTACTTTCAGTCAGCCTTCAAGTTTAAGTTCCATTGAACTAGTCTTTGAATTGTCATGTAATTTTAAGTGTCGCATGAAAGATTTGAACCTAATCAGATGTTGGCTTTTTCCACGAAATTTTTTTTTCGGTGCCGTCGGCGTCATAACCATAGCTCTGACCAATTTTTGTCTAAACGAAATTAAACGAAATTTACAATATCCGGCAATAACATCAGAAACATCAAATTTTGTATTGTAATCGAGAAATCTGACCGCAAAACCATTTACCGCATGTTGAACTTCCACAATTCTGCTGTTTTCATAACTAGAACCCAAAAGTTTCGTGAAATTCCGTACAATTCCGTATTATCCCGCATATATCCAAAACACATTAAAGCGTCATTGGATTCATTTCAACATACCAATTAAGGCATCCTAATCAGATGTTGGCTTTTTCCACGAAATTTTTTTTTCGGTGCCGTCGGCGTCATAACCATAGCTCTGACCAATTTTTGTCTAAACGAAATTAAACGAAATTTACAATATCCGGCAATAACATCAGAAACATCAAATTTTGTATTGTAATCGAGAAATCTGACCGCAAAACCATTTACCGCATGTTGAACTTCCACAATTCTGCTGTTTTCATAACTAGAACCCAAAAGTTTCGTGAAATTCCGTACAATTCCGTATTATCCCGCATATATCCAAAACACATTAAAGCGTCATTGGATTCATTTCAACATACCAATTAAGGCAGGAAAAATGAATTCGATGGGAGCACTTATTTTTTTTTTGGAGAATGGATGAAAATATTCATATTACGCATACTTAAAGACTTTGTTTTGGAGCTTTTGAACTAAACTATCGTAGCGTAAACGTACAGATTTATCAACCTAGCACTAATTTTCGACCCTTCCAAACAAAATAAAAAAATCAAAAATATGTGATTAAATTTTAAATCGAGTTTTTCAATATCAGCAAGTCAACAGTGCATCCAAAATAGGCAAATTGCGTGTTTATTTAATGAAAAAACTTTATTTTCGACCTTGTTTTGGGCAAAAAGCCAAACGTATGGTTGATTCGTTTACGTCGATATCATTGATATACTCGATACTACGGAAATGGATGCTCATACCGAAGTAGTTCTCTACTCTATCAGGCACCCATGCGCCAAAGAACGCTTCCCGATTTGAATCTACATTTCATACCTTCACCGTCACTTCGTCACGGATTTAATTACGCACCACGATCCCATTTCCGATTCCTGACTCTTTCCAAGTGGGCAACAAAGTCAGGAAAGATCCTTCACAACTACACAACACTCAGCTGCCATGACGTCGTTATGGTGAGGTAATCCGAAAGGGGAGCTTGATTGAATCCATTCCACTTTTCAAAAGTGGTTTAGTGACAAGATTAATTAACGGCGTAGGCGCGACTTTCGAATTAACTGTCCTGCGCGTCCCACGTCGGAAATATCGTGATGATAAATTGTTGTATCCCCGAGTGTGTGTGTGTGTGGATTACATCGCCCGTTGGCTGGTACCTGAAACAACATTCCTTTGTCTTCTTTCAGTAACAAATAAAAGCTCAACCCGAGTGGAATCATCGGTTATTGCTCTTGACGAATTGTGGTGGCAGCGCCCTTGCCGTTGGTGCAATTAGCTATGGGGGAATAAACTGAATATGCCTTGAACCAGTCAATTTTCAATTAAGCTGTTGGCTTCAGGGAAAGTTATAGCAACCAAGTCTTTCGAGATGATTGTTAGATGGATGTATAAATAACAAGATTAAATAAATTCCATTAGATTGAGCTGTGAGCTTCAGGTCGTCGTTCCTGTAGCAAGGTTGTGGCAAAGTTCGATAAGAGTTGGTTTATAGGAATTGGTAATTTGCTGAGAATACATTTGTTGTAAACAAGAGTATCTCATGCAATAGAAAAAACGTTTGTGGGGTTTTCAATTATCTGGTTCCAAATGATTAGAATACTATGATTGCATTTCTCGTACGCCGAGGTTAAAAACACATTTTTGATCAGAGGCATGAAGGGTGAAGTGTCATACAGTATCTCCCGCAAAAAACAGTTTACTGGATCATTCATATCTATAATGAATTTTTAAGGCTACACACTTAGAAATAACTAATTTTACACGTGACGGAATCCGTCTTTGACATTAAAGATGAGACGTAAACAAGCATGTCATGTAATATTAAGTGCTCCGAGACAGAAAAGTACGTTTGATTGAGCTATATTGCACGTCTGTTATGGCTCAAATTTATGTCAAAATTGACGCTTGTATATGTCACTCTCAGAGCACCTAAATTTACATGATTTTTTCTAAGGGTGTAGTTTACACAATTTTCTGACGGAAATCTGCATTTAAGTTTCGACGTCACCCAACGAGAAAGCCCCTATCGAGAGAATGACAACTGTACATAAGACAAGTGGTAGGTCACTCCGCACACCAGTCTTGGGTCTACATTTTTCTCAGTGTGCCGATTGCGCCGGCAGTGCCGGGCATAGAGCAAGCTGCGATTTTTTGTAAAATACGAACATTATGGTATATTTGGTGTTAATGGCTAGCCTGATGGGCTAGTTTAAAGGGATTCCCCTAGCCTCTGGTCTAGCCACGGAGATCGTCTGTGGTGGGCTACACGCGCCTCTTTTGTTGGCTAGTTCGAGCTCGAAATCCTAGAGCTTCAAGGTCGGCTCCTGGCTTGTCGATACTAATCAGAAGCACAAAACACCTATCAATCACTTTTCACTAGTTTAATGTTTAACTCACTTGTTATGTCTGTAGTGTGGGTGTGTAGATTGTTGGCGAGTGATGACGGGATTCTGCAGTGGGTGGGCTTTTTCGGCGGCGGATGAACGGTCTGTTCCCGGTGGATGCCGGTGCTCGACGGTTGTCACCGTGTGGGTCGGGTGATCGACGGTTGTCACCGTGTGGGTCGGGTGATCGATGGTGGTCTCTCAGTGGTCGTCGGTGTATTACCGATGAACGCTTGCTACACGAGTGTTGGCGTGTTAACGGACGCCCTCGTGGTTTAGGCCGTAATTAATGGGTCCCGAGGGGAATATGAGAGGTTTTAGGGCTGGGAATTCCGCTACCGGGTTATTAATTAGGTCCTACCTGACTCCGTATTCGGTGGTATTAGCCGGTATTTGTTGGTAACTCTTGACTATTATACTCTTAATTTATATGAACTATCTTGCGCAATGGCTGAAGTAGAAGAGAACTTTCTTTTCAGTTTGACCCAGTAGCTTCCCCTTGATCTATGCCCATTTCTACCTCCCTCCCACTTTTCCACCACCCCTTATCCATATCCTTCTCCTGTTTCCAACGCCCACCTTCATCCTTACTCCTTCCCATTATGTGTTCTGTGTTATGTGTTGTTGGTGGGACTGGGTTACACTGGGACCGTTGGTTTGGGAGTGGTCTTTTTTCATATTTAGTTATATTTACATTCAAAAACAAGACAATATTGCACACAAGAAACTGACATACTGATTTAATTCAAAATGAGTACACATATACCCTATTCCTCGCTCTCGCTATCTCCTGATTTTTCTCGCTCGAAGTGAATCAATAGGGCAGTGTTGGCAAAATCAGAAATCAATTGATATTTTTCCGCTCTCATGCGCTCGCAATATCACGCGTGATATTGGAACAAAATATCATGCTTGATATTGATTTTACAAGCTCCTTTGATATTGCGAGACTATTCACAACATGCAAAAATCAAGCTGAGAGTTGACTCAACACAAAAATGATTCCATTGTACATCGTTTTTTAGAAAGAGAAAGCATAGCTTGCTATCTTTTTTTAATCTTCACCGATGGCAGACGCGAAGGGACGGCTGCAAGCCGTTATGGAAGTTTCGGTTGCATTCGGGTGTAAAACAAAAATCATTAAACTCAATCTCACCACAGTTTGGTGAGATTTGCAGTTGGTGAGTTTTGTTAGCTTGATATTCCGAGCAGCGATATCACAGCTTGCAAAATCAACCGCAGTAGTTTGCTTGTTGATTTTTGTCTACGAAAATCAAGCGTGATATTGGGCGTTGGTGAGATTTGATTTTTTGATATTTTCCCAACACTGCACTAGGGTACAGGAACCAAAACGGTAAACTTTGGCAACCCAATATGTCTGACAGCTTGAATGTTTTGATTTGCAATCGCAAGGATAACATCGGTCTAGCGACAACCAAGGAGGAATGCTGGTGAGATGGACCGTGAGTGGTTTCAGCCGTCCAACAGGACACAACAAAGAAAAAGGAAGTGTTCCCGCATCGAAAACAACGCCTACGTCAAGTGGATGGAACCGGACTTTTCCCATGATGACGCAGAAGGAGGATTGTATTCTGACGGCGGTTGGCGTAGACGAGGAAACCATCTATAGAAAATCCACCTGGCTGCTGGAATACGAGCTGACCGATACGATTACGGTGCTGTGGGGAAAATCCATCTTTTTTCTAACCAGCAAGAAGAAGATCGACTTATTGAAGTAGTTCGAGAAGCACGGTGAGGAGGGCATTCAGTCGGTGAAGCTGTTGGTTCGGGATAAGAACGACAAAGACAAGGCCAATTTTGAAAAGCTGCTGGAGGCAATCAACGGATCCAAGAATGGCAAAACGTTTGGAGTCTTCTCCAAAGGCAACTTCCCGGGTGAATTCTGTGAATTGTGGCGAGCCTTCGTCAAGGACAAGAGCTTCGATGCGGTGAACATCAGCGTCCCAATCGGGTACATCATATGCTCCAAGGAGGACTCCGAGGTTATCACCATCAAGAAGGCCTGCCTGGTGACGGTAGACGCATTCAACAAGTACTTCAAGGATCACGTCATGGAGATTATCGATGCTGATAAGAAAGTACACCACAAACTGTCAGAGGGTGTCGAGCAGGCTGTGACGGACAAAACTACTACTATTTGGACATGTGCTACCTGACAACTATCCAGTCGGACAGCTTGAAGTTCATTGCATTTAGCGACAAGAACTATCTGCACTTCGGATCGATCATCTATGCTATGGGTACGCGTTACAAGTCCTACTGCTCCAATGTCGTCCGAACGTTGCTGGTCAATCCGACTGAAACGATTCAGAAGCACTACACCTTTTTGCTCAATCTGGAAGAGGAACTGCTGAAGGTGATGATTCCGGGCAAGAAGCTCTCGGAGGGTTTCGACGTCGGAATGGATTATTCCGAGAAGGAGGATTCCAAGCTAAGACGTTTGGTGTTGCCACCGGGTTGGAGTTCCAGGAGACTTCGATCGTAGTACCTCAACCAGTGAAATTCGGTTAAATTGTAAGTTAATTAGGTTGAGTGGAAGTAGCAAGATGTGGCTTTTCAGCAGCAAATCACCAGATTTCGGTCAATTGATCATCTACCAAACCAAACTCACTTGAACAATACCGAACTACTACTTTTCACGGCATAATCACATGAAATCTATATTGCTTCCACTCAACCCAATTAACTTACAATTTTTTTTTTTTTATTTAATGTTACAAAAATCGATAGCCATTTATTTCATCTCGTATAAAATGACACATATCCGAAAATAAAGCTACTCTGTTACTTAATTTTAAATTAAACAGAAATCTCACTTCAAATTTACATTACCCTTCACCGCCATCAAAGCATATCCACCGTTGCCCCAGTAGTTGGACCAGGAGTTCTTTATTAGCCAGTAATCTTTTTCTTTGAGTTTTTTGTATCCAACCACCCCCAATGCATGATCCAATCCATCCAAATTGTTCTTGTATACCGGTTCGTAGCACACTCGATTTGCGTAGTAGCTGAAAGACTTGCGACCGGCATCGATAGCAATCGACAGCCCTCGGAAGCGTACATTTCGAATTTAAATGTGAACCGAGAAGTGAATAACTGGTCTGAGCTCCTCTAGGATATTCAATAAGATCATGTTTCTGAAATACACAGTAAAACAGCACGTAATGCTGTGAATAACTTCAATGACAGCTGTCCAGCAGTGCTTCAATTTTACTTAATGAACAATCCAATGCCTACGAGCTTGTACCGAAGGTGTGCCGATGGATGTGCCAAGTTGTGCCCAAGCTGTGTCGAATCTACTTTCGGCACACTGTGCTGAGTGATCTACCCCTTGACATAAGATAAATGTTTTTAACAAGTCAATTTTGAACTAAATCTATTTTTGAATGTTGATGGATATATTTACGAACTTCTTAAAATTCGACTGAATTCAGGGAAGTCTGGAAACTTCAAAAATATTCTGTCAACGTCAATGATATAAGCATACTTCAACACTGCTAACTTCAGTAAGCTCTGCTGATTACAGGAAAATTCAACGATATTCAGGAAATCTCTGAAAATTTCAGGGAAGTCTGTGAATCAGAAAAAAACTGTAAATTTCATAGAAATCTGGTTGGTTGGTTGATTGGTTGGTTGTCTTTATTAAGGAGATTTTCAGCCAGACGCGGTGAACTTCCTAAACGTTCTTCAAACATGAAAAACATTTTGAGGAAGCTTCTGAGAACAACATGAAGGTTTAGTCAGGGAACTATTGTGAACTTGAGGAAAATTCTGCAAACTTCGGAATATTTAAACGAATTAAAAATAAAATAATCTCTCAGGAAGTCTATAAACTTCAGAAAAATTCACCGAGATTAAGGAATGTCGGTAGCTTGGTAAAATTCTGATAACATAAGGAAAGTTCAGCAAGCTTCAAAGAATTTCAAGAATATTCTGAAAACGTCTAAATGTCTGGAAATTTCAGGGGAGTCTGGGAATTTCAGGAAATTTTGAAACTTTAAAAAAACTTCAGAAAATTGTACTAAATTGAAAAAGTCTGCGAGCTTGATGGAAATTAATGGAAGTCAGCAAATTTCTTTAAAATATAGCGAACTTCAAAACTACTCTGTCAAATTCAGTTAAGATAGCGGCACCGATGGTGTAGTGGTAAGCGTGATTACCTCTCACCCCAGCTGGCCTGGGCTTAATCCCAGTCGGCGCCGTCGGGATGTTCTGAGGCATAACAAGGGAAGTAAAGCCGTTGGTCCCCGGTTCATGAGTTGATGGGTCGATATGTAGGGTCCAGGTGTAGGAGCTGCCTCCCTGGCGTCAGTAACATTGGTGGTCAGCACGGAAAACAAGATCGACGGAAAACAAATCAAGGAAAAAAACTTCAGGAATATTCTGCGAATTTCAAAAATAGTCAGCTCTTTTTTGGAACAGAAATTCTGTGAACATCTAGGAACATTTTGTGAAATTAAGAAAAAAATCATTGATCTATATGAAAGTTCAGTTAACTTCAAGAACATTCTACGAATTTCAGAAAAAAATCTGATAACTTAAAGATATTTCTGCTAATTTCTAATTTGAAGAATATTCTAAAAACTTCTAAATATTTTGTTAAACTGCTTGAAAGTTGTGAAATTTTTTGAAATCATTTATTAACTCGAATAAAATTCTGCGAGCTTCAGGAAAGTTTTGGAAATATTTTTGGAATGTTATGCAAATTTCATTGAAAGTCTGGGAACTTCAGGAGATCTGGAAACTTTTTATAAATTCATGAAAATTATACTTTTTTTTTATAATGTGTTTATTTTTCCAGGCTCATTTGCCGTAGCTTTGCGGAGCCGATATTCATCGTTTGGGTACAAAATTACTTAAAACTAACGTTAGTAAAGCGGGGGCCGATTACTCGCGGCTTTCTCGAGGTTAGGGGTAACAAATTGTAACAAACGGGTGGCAGGGTAGGGATTGAGAACACAAGGTTTTTTAGAGCAATGTGCTCTTGATCTAGAACTAAGCGACATACTGGAGAAAAAGACAAACATGGGGGTACACCGATGGAGACCTAGCAACTTAAGAGAACACAAGATGACACTAACTACTGAATCCTCAGATCGATCCGTTTTAAAAACACATACATTAAATTAAAATATTCGAGATCTCGGCTCGCCAAGATGTCTCTAACGGGCCGCATAGGTTGTTTTCCTCCGGCCCTGAGGGATGTGGATAACTCGGATCTAGCAACACAATGTAGGGTGCATGACCAAAGCACGTGGTCGATATCGTGATAGCCACTACCACAAGCGCACAAATTGCTGCCTGCGAGCCCGATTCGGAAGAAATGCGAGTCTAACGAGTAGTGATTGGACATGAGCCTTGATATGACACGTATAAAGTCACGGCTCATGTCCAATCCTTTGAACCATGGCTTGTTCGACACCTGTGGGAGAATAGAATGTAACCATCTTCCCAGATCACTCTCATTCCATTTTTGTTGCCAGTTGGTGAGGACGTGCTGACGGGTAATTGAAAAAAATTCCGCAAAGGCGATTTGTCGATCAAAAATATCGCCTTCCATAGCGCCCACCTTAGCTAGCGAGTCCGCTTTCTCATTACCCGGAATTGAGCAATGAGATGGGACCCAAACTAAGGTGATAGTATAGGAGCAGTTAGATAAAGTACTCAATTTAGCTCGGATTTCGGTCAGGAAATACGAGGAGTGCTTCATCGGCCTCATTGATCGAATAGCCTCCAACGAGCTAAGGCTATCAGTAAAAATAAAATAGTGATCAGATGGTAGTGAGGCAATTTGCTCTACTGCGTAAAATATGGCTGCTAGTTCCACAACGTATACGGAACAGGGTTTTTGCAGTTGATATGAGGCGCTATGAAATTCGTTGAATACTCCAAATCCAGTGGAAGCGTTTATAGTTGACCCATCTGTGAAAAAACTCTTATTGTTACTAATATGGTGGTACTTGTTTGCAAAAATTAAGGGAACAACCATCGACCGATGGTGATCTGGTATTCCACGGATTTCTTGCAACATGGTCAGATCAAAATTTACAGAGGAACTATAAAAGTCTTGGAGGCAAACACGAGAGGAATTGAATGAAGAAGGGCCAATCTCCAGCGTCATGTAATCGTAATAGAGACTCAAGAAAAAAAAATATACTTAATTACTTTGCAAACCATTTGAAAGTCCGCAAATTTCCTTAAAATGTTGCAAACTTCAAAAGTATTTCAGTCAATTTCAGTTAAGTTAGTGAGCTTCAGAAAAATTCGGAGAACTTTAGAAATTTTCACCGAATCTGTTTTGAAAAGATTAGCAAAAATTTTAAGAATTCCAGGATAATTCTGTGAATTTCAGGAAATTTTTACTAAATTATAGAAAGTTTGCAAATTTCTGCAAAATTCTGTACCTTTCAGAAACTTTCTGCCATCTTTACTAAAAGCGGAAATTTTCAAGAAAATTCTATGAACTTCAGTAAAGTTTGCTTCCACCAGAAAAATTCTGCTAGCTTAAGGAAATCTCTGCAAGTTACAGGGAAGTCTGCAAACATGAATACATCTTTAAAATAATACCGGATCAACCTGAGAATATTGGTTTTGAAATAATTTCTTATCATCCTAGTATCATGGGTGAAATTTTAAGACAGTTGAAGGTCGTCGATTTCAGATAAATCTCTGATCATATACAGGTTTTTGAAATAGTATCGGATCATGCATTTGAATATCTGAGAGTCGCTTATTGAATTCCTGGACAGTTGACGATATTCTGAATAAAACCTTATCAACCTGAAGACTTGAAAAAAATCCTGAAATTAACTTCAGGAAAATTCGTCCCAGATCTCAAGAAAAGTGCTATCCACAACTTGAGGCAAGTTTTTCCAAGAACTAAGAATTTAAAAAAAAAATCCCAGAACTCCAGGGAAATTCTTTTTAGAAATTCAGGGATGTTTATCCCACAATGTCAAGGAAGGTCTTCCCAAAACTCCAGAAAGTCCTTCCCTGAACTACAGAAAAGTTCTTCCTAGAACTCCAGGAAAGTTTTATCCAGAGATGTTCTTCCCTAAACTTGAGAGAAGGTCTTCCCAGAACTTCAAAAAAGTTCTTCTCAGAACTTCAAAAAAGCTCTTCCCAGAGCTTCAGTAAAGTTCGTCCAAAAACTTCAGGGAAGTTTTCCAATGAACTCTAGGGACTTCCCTTCCAAAACTACAAAATAGTTCTTCCAAGAGCGTTAGGGATTTTTTTCTCTAGAATTTCAGAAAAAATTCTCCCACATCTTCAGGGAAGTGGGTTCGCAGAACTTTAGGGAATGTTCTACCCGGACCTTTAGGAAAGTTCTCTCTAGAATTTCAGAAAGCTTTTTCTCAGAGCTTCAGAAAAGTTCATCCCATAACTAAAAAAAAAAGCCTTCGCAGATATTGAGGGAAGTTTTTCCCCCAAAGTTCCTGAAACTTCTTCCCAGAACTTTAGGAAAGCTCTTCCCGGAACTTAAGG